AAAACCTCCTCTAATTTCATTGAGATATTTCCACTTTTACACCAAACTACTACAAAAGAGTTTTTCTATTCGGCGAAAACTCAATGAGGGAAGAATTAAGTTACTGTTGTTACTATGACGCCTGTCCCGACGTCTGGCACTAGGAGGTCACAGTTGCCATTGATGTCGAAAGCTCCAACCGAGTCCGTCGTCTCTTGGTCTACGTTAACCATCCCCAGAGCAGGACTGGCCTTCTAACCTCGACCCCTTTTTTATTCTCTACGAGACGGAAAATTCGCATGATTAGCGAATCAGACGGAAAATGCAACAAAAACAAATTGGAGACGCTCAAGTTTTAGCAAAAATACCGCCCAAATTTTTTATCTAAAATGGTTAAATTTATTATTGTGGTCTGTCAAAGTTCTATTTCTGAAAAAAAATACTGGTTTTTCAATCAAATAATCTACTAAATTGTAGTTTACTGTGGGTTTGTTAGGGTTTTAATTTTTACCCAAATAATTAAACAAGTTATTTAATCACAAAATATTTTATCCGCTAAAAAATTTACGTAATGTCTCTTTTCATTTTTCATTTCTTAGTAACCTTGTTACTGTCGTTAATTTGTGCAACAAATTGAAACGTATACTACATTATTAATTTTTTTAAATTTTGGTTGTTTTAAGCGAATTGCAAACAAATACTAAAAATTAATTAGTCGAAATATACTTTTAGGAATTATTTTTTTTATTGTGCTTTTTTTATTAATAACAATATGTAATTAAATCAGATTTTGTAAATTTCAGTGTTTCTTATTCACAATTATGATTTAATAGAGTTAGGAATTTTGAAAAAAAAAATTTTGGGCAATTTTTTTATAAAACCGAAAAAAAATAAAGTAAGATTTAATACCCTGTGTTACGTTTGTACAGTAGGTATATAATATTAAACCAAAAACTTTGTCTTATTTTTAAAGTTTGTGGAAGATGACTACGATTTTTTATTGCTTTTGCTTGACATTAATAATAATATGTAGATATATTAAATCAGATTTTGGAAATTTCAGTGTCAAAATTATGATTTAACAGAGTTAGAAAAAAAACTGAATTTTGAAAAAAAAATTTTTTAGTCAATTTTTTTATAAAACCGTACAAAAATAAGGTAAGATTTAATACCCTGTTTTATGTTTGTACTGTATATAATATTAAACCAAAATCTTTGTTTCATTTTTAAAATTTGTGGAAGATGACTACGATGTTTTATTGCTTTTATCGAAAGATATAAAAAAAAGTCAGGACCAGGAATCGAACCTCAGTTTTTTGGATTGTTTTTCTTTTCCATTAATAATAATATGTAGATATATTAAATCAGATTTTGAAAATTTTGGTGTTTCTTATTGTTGAAATTCTGATCTTTACAAGCAGATTTAGAATTTTTTTTAAATCGAATTTGTAAAAAAATGTTTTTTAAAATGTGGCAACATTTAAAACTTTACTTTAAATTGTAAATTAAACCAAAAAGTTTGTTTTATTTTTAGGGTTTTTTAAATTTTGTGGAAGATGGCCAAGATTTTTTATTTCTTTTACTTGAAAGATATAAAAAAGACTAAACTAGGAATCGAACCTTAGTTTTTTTTGGGTTCTTTTTCTCTCCTATTAAGAATAATAAATAGATACATTAAATTGGATTTCGAAAATTTTTGTGTTTCTTTTTGTTTACAAGCAGATTTGGAATTTTTTTATATCGAATTTGTAAAAAAATGTTTTTTTTGAATCAATTTGTAGAACGTAACCGTACAAAAATGTGGCAACATTTTTATCTTTACTTTAAATTGTATATTAAACCAAAAAGTTTGTTTTATTTTTAGGGTTGCTTAAATTTTTTGCAGGATTGCAACGATTTTTTTAAATAATTATTTGTAAGGTAAAAAGAAAAAAAACTGATAAGACCAGGGATTGAACCTCAGTTTTTTGGGTTGGTGTTTTTTCTAGTAATAATAACATGTATATTAAATTAGATTTTGAAAATTTTAGTGTTTCTTATTGTTGCAATTCTGATCTTTACAAGCGAAATTAGAATTTTTTAATTATACATAATCGAATTTGGAAAATAATGTTTTTGGGTCAATTTTTACGTCAATTTTTTTTAATCCTACAAAAATGTGGCAACATTTAAAACTTTACTTTAAACTGTATATTAAAACAAAGTTTGTTTTATTTTGTGCTTGTTTAAAACTTTTGCAGGGTTGCCACAACTTTTTTGTAATAATTATTTCTAAGTTATAAAGAAAAAAAACTGACCAGGGATTGATTCTCTGTTTTTTGAGTTGGTACTTTTTTCATTAATAATAATATGTATATTAAGTAAGATTTTGGAAATTTTAGTGTTTCTTATCGTTAAAATTATGATTTAACAAATCTAGAAAAAATATTCTTTAGAAATGAATTTTGAAAAAAATATTTTTTGGTCAATTTTTTTTTATAAAACCGTATAAAAATAGACAAGATTTAAAACTCTGTCTTAAGTTTGTACTGTAGATAATTAAGTATTAAACCAAAAACCCTAATTTATTATTAGGGTTTCAAGGTTTGTTTAAAATGGCCAAGATTTTTTATTTCTTTTACTTGAAAGATATAAAAAAAGACTGGACCAGGAATCGAACCTCAGTTTTTTGGGTTCTTTTTCTCTCCAATTAAGAATAATAAATAGATAAATTAAATTAGATTTTGAAAATTTTTGTGTTTCTTATTGTTGAAATTCTGATCTTTACAAGCAGATTTAGAATTTTTTTTTATTTAAAATCGAATTTGAAAAAAATGTTTTTTGGATCAATTTTATGTCGAATTTTTTTAACCCTACAAAAATGTGTCAACTTTTGAAACTTTACTGTATATTAAACCAAAAAGTTTATTTTATTTGCCACGATTTTTTTGTAATAATTATTTGTAAGATATAAAGAAAAAAACTGATAAGACCAGAGATCGAACCTCTGTTTTTTGAGGAGTTGAATAATAATTTGTATATTAAATCAGATTTTGGAAATTTTAGTGTTTCACATCGTTAAAATTATGATTTAACAGATTTGGAAAAAATATTTTTTTGAGCTGATTTTTGAAAAAAAAATTTTTTTGGTCAATTTTTTTTATAAAACTGTACAAAAATAAGGTAAGATTTAAAGCTCTGTCTTAGGTTTGTAGTGTACATATTTTGTTTAATTTTTAAGATTTCTTGAAGTTTGTGGAAGATTGCCACGATTTTTTGTTTTTACTTGAAAGAAAAAAGTCAGGACCAGGAATCAAACCTCAGTTTTTGGGTATGTTGTTCTTTTCCATTAATAATAATATGTAGCTATATTAAATCAGATTTTGAAAATTTTGGTGTTTTTTATTGTTGAAATTCTGATCTTTACAAACAGATTTAGAATTTTTTATTTTAAATTGAATTTGGAAAAACATGTTTTTTGGATCAATCTCAAATTTCAAATTACTTTAAACTGTTTGTTTTATATTTTGGGTTGCCGCGATTTTTTGTAATAATTATTTGTAAGATATCACGAAAAAAAAACTGATTAGACCAGGGATCGAACACTAGCTTTTTGAGTTGGATTTTTTTCTATTAATAATAATATGTATATTAAATCAGATTTTACAAATTTTGGTTTCTTTTTGTGCTTAAAATTTATTCCCCAAGTCACTGACCGGATTTACATGACACTACCTGCGTTAAAAATAAACTATTTTGTAAAACTAACATTTGAATAAATTACTTTTGTTAAAAATTATTCAATCCGGTCCTGGATCACCCCTTCACTCTCTGGACTCAATTTTCTAGGTCAGAAGATTCATTGTCACCGCCTACTTGTTATTTGATAGTGTACTAAAAGGACTCGTGTTTAATATCCACCCTTTTTTTTTCTTTTCTCGCTTGTCCATCTCAAACAGGAAATGTATGTAATTGTCCCTTATTTCCGCTTGGAATAATTTATTAGAAATTCATTGCAAATATTATACAACAATAGTCGCTGAATTACAATTTGAAATTCAAATTTGAAATCTCGTGCCATGTGGATATATTGTCATTTTGATTGATATCATTTCCGTCCTGCCACTCAGATTTATACAGGAAGGACGATAATAATAATAAAATTTCTGCTAAATACACCACCAGAGGGCACACATCCCTCCCCAGGTAAATTGATGCTTTCAAACCAGGCCATTAATTTTTATAGGGTTATAAAAAATAATCGCCAATCGGTTTTATTTTTATTTTTTAATTATTACACAGTTGGCAATTAAATGTCATCAACCCCATGGCCCACTCAATAATTATTCAGTCGAACCGGTGAACACACTGTATATTGTAATTACACGCTTTATTGAATTTTCGACAATGACGTCAATTACGCGAATTGACAATAATCGCATTTGAAATATCACAATTCAATCATATTGCATATTCATGCTGACGTCACTGAAACGTAATCGAATCTTATTGACTTGCATCCTGTATATTTATAGCTTGGTTTTCCCGATTTGCTTTTGTCAAGTTAATTTAAAATTTGATTTATCATGTTTCTGAGACAAGTATTTGGTATTTGGGCAAATAGCTTATATTTTAATGTATCTGTTGTTTTATTTGAATTTTGGAAGGTGTTACTGGCGCCATCTTGAGAGTCATGGTTAAAAGTCCAACTGCGCCTTAAGGAATTTAATAATTCCTGAACTTGTTTTTGTGAATAACCGTAACGCTTACACGTGGTTGTTGTCAATGTTTTGGTTGAAAAAACAGAGTTTAATGATGAATTTATTATTTTTTTAAATAATTGTTGGGGAGATTTGGGAGTAAAGTGTAGATGATCGAAAACGGATTTATTAAAGTTGGGTGTCTAGCAAAAAACTTGTACTTGTAAAATGACAAGAAACATAATTGCGTGTTTGTTGTGTTTTGTAATTAAAATTAGCTCTTGTATTAATAAATTTGAGACAATTTATATTTTTTGCACAATGGGTGACGGATATTTTCGCCGCCATGTTGGAAATGTCATTTAAATGTCAAAATAATCAACAAAAATAGTTTAAAGTTGATTAAAACAATGTAATTGGGTGTTTTTTGTGCGAAATATCACCAAGTGCGTGTTATTTGAGTGTTTGGTGTAACCCCAAGTAAGTAAATCGAGTGAAATTCAAAAATAATCAAATTACTAGGTTATCGGGTTAACAGGTTAATCAATAATTCACATGGGACTCTCCTATTTTGTATAAATTTGCCCACATACTCTCTTAAATAAACTCCACACCCTTAATCGATGCCAGTGTGATTATTCACACATTCACTCGCCCCCTTTTCCAGAATGGTCCGTGTTATCTCCGTGCACCATTTCGCCGGTCAAAACATCCAAACCGTTGAACAGCCGACGGCATGCACAGTCGCGCCCCCCGACAAGCTTCTCCTAGCCCTCACGAGCAATTGCATCGAAGTCCGAGACTTGAAAAACGAGTCTGAGGTCTTGTTTAGCTTCCCTTCAGTCGACGAAGTCATCCAGATTGTGCACTGTCGCAACGGTAGGTATGGGGGCTGTTTTTGCGCGTTTTAATCCTGGTTTCAGGCGACTTTGTGACCACGCTCGAGACCAAGTTCAATCGCCAGAACAAAGACACGAATTTCGTGCGTGTTTACATCAATTGGGACAGCGTGGCCGCCTTGCAGCAGTCGAAAATGACCAGCAGTGGGGTCAGTTTGGGGGCCTCGGAGTGCGGGATGGTGCAGCCGATGCGGGCGAGGATCGCCGGGAGAGTCACCCCCACGACGAATCAGTCGGAATTGGGGAGTTTGGAGATGATTGAAATTCCGGTGAAACGCAATCCGAATTATATCGAGTGTTGTCAAGTCTCCGGAAATTTGTTCATTTTGTCGAAACGAATCATCAATGTTTATAAGTTTCAAGTTAAGACTCATGATATTTCAAAGATGAGGTTTATTGATTTCGAAGAGGTGGGGTTTTACTTGGAGTTGACGTTTTTCCCACAACAGATGGCAGTGTGCGAGAATTATATTGCGTGCATGAATAGCGACAATATGTATTTGTTTAAGTTGGATGATGAGGGGGGCGAGGTGGGGGCGACGGGGGAGCAAAGTTTTAATTTTGCATGTAAGTATGAGTATACAGGGTGAGACAATAAACCAGAAAATTATCAGTTCTTAAAAATTTCGGTTTTTGATTAGATTTGGAAAATTTTCTAATTTTTTTTCAAATTTTAATTCGTTTCACACTTTTTAACAATTTTTAACGTAGAAAACCAAAGAACAGTATTTTTGGCACCTAAAAGTCAAATTTCGCAATTAAAAAATTAAAGCATGACAATTTTACATATAGAAAACAAAAAATAATTTTTAGACATTTGGTAATAATGTCATTATGTTTTTACGTGTATTTGTAAGCTACTTTGTAAACAGGGTGTTTTTGCTAAAATTAATAGTTATAGAAAAAATTAAATATGCAAGTCGCAGTAAAAAAAATTGCATTTTTATATGTTTCATAAAAAAACAACAATGGAAGTTCGGTAAACATCACTTTATCACTAAGTATTTTTTATTTAAATATCAAGGTTAAAATATTTTGAGAAAAAAGACAATTCACAAAAAGGTAGGTTCAAAAAATTATTTTTGAGTATTTAGTAATAGATTTTTTACGTGCGTCTGTAGGCCACTCTGTATACAGGATGTCTTAGCTAAGATTAATAGTTATAGAAAAATTTGAGTGTGCAGGTCGGGATTTAAAAAATAGCATTTTTAGATTCGAGCACAATTTTCATTTTGGGTGTAAGTAGAATGCTCAAAGCTATACAGGGTGAAACAAAAACTAGAATTCAAAATTTGTCACTTGAAAAATTCATAACTTGAAAATATCAGTTCTAGGTTAAAACGATTTGCATAGTCGAAATCGACTTGTTTTTCATAAAATTTTGGTTTTTGATAAAATATTGAAAATTTTTCATTTTTTTTCCAAAATTTAATTTGTCTGGCTTTTTTTCACACTTTTTAACGTAGGAAACTAAAGAACACTAATTTTGGCACCTAAAAGTCAAATTTTGCAATTAACAAATTTAAGAATGGCTACTATGTAGAAAACAAAAAATAATTTTTGGATATTTAGTAATAAATATTTATATTTATAAGCCACTTTGTATACAGGGTGTTTTTGCTAAGATTAATAGTTATAGAAAAAATTAAGTATGCAAGTCCAGAAAAATTGAAAAATTCATAACTTGAAAACTGTCAGTCCAAGGTTAAAACGGTTTGCATAGGCGAAATCATCGGCTTGTTTTTCATAAAATTTCGGTTTTTGATAAGATTTTGAAAATTTTCCTATTTTTTTTTCAAAATTTAATTTGTCTGGCTCTTTTTCACAATTTTTAACATAGAAAACTAAAGATCAGTAAATTTGCCACATAACTTAAAAACTATCATTTCTTAAAAATTTCGGTTTTTGATTAGATTTGGAAAATTTTCCATTTTTTTTTATTTTAATTTGTTTGGCACTTTTTAACAATTTTTAACGTAGAAAACCAAAGAACAGTATTTTTGGCACCTAAAAGTCAAATTTCGCAATTAAAAAATTAAAGAATGGCAACTGTGTAGAAAACAAAAAATAATTGTTGGATATTAAGTAATAAAGTCAGTATGTTTTTACGTGTATTTGTAAGCCACTTTGTATACAGGGTGTTCTTGCTAAGATTAATAATTAAAGAAAAATATAAGTATGCAGGTCGAGAGTTAAAAAATAGCATTTTTAAATTCGAACACAATTTTAATTTTGTATATATATTTTTCATAAAAAAAGACAATGACAGCAAGGGAAACGTCACTTTATCACTGTTTTTCAATGATTGTTATGGAATATAAATATCAAGGTTAGAAAATTATGACAAAAAAACACAATTCACAAAAAGATAGGTTAAAAAAATTATATCAAAAAGTATTTTTTACGTGCGACTATAGGCCACTCTGTATATAGGTTGTTTTAGCTAAGATTAATAGTTATAGAAAAAATTGAGTATGCAGGTCGAGAGTTAAAAAACAGCATTTTTAGATTCGAGCACCATTTTAATTTTGGATGTAAGTATAAGTAGAATGCTCAGTGCTATACAGGGTGAAACAATAAACTAGAATTTAAAATTTGTCACTTGAAAAATTCATAACTTGAAAACTATCAGTTTCAGGTTAAAACGGTTTGCAAAGGCGAAATCTTTGGCTTGTTTTTTTATAAAATTTCGGTTTTTGATAAGATTTTGAAAATTTTTCAATTTTTTTTTTAAATTTAAGTCTTTTTTAACAATTTAGAAAAACTAACGAACAGGAATTCGGGCACATAAAAGTCAAACTTCGCACTGGAGCGTTTAAAAACTTTACGTGTACCTATTTATAAACCACTTTGTATACAGGGTGTTATAGAAAAAATTAAATATATAGGTCGAGAGTAAAAAATTACATTTGTAGATCAAGCACAACTTTAATTTTGGATGTATATGTTTCATAAAAAAAACGAGACAATGACATGTTCATAAGCGAATGACCATTTATGAAAATATTTAACAATTTTTTAGTATTTGTTACAACTGATATTCAATAATAAAATTCGTATATAAGCCACTCGGTATACAGGTGCTCTAGCGAAGATTACTAGTTATAGAACAAATTAAGTATGTAGGTCGGGATTTAAAAAATAGCATTTTTAGATTTGAGCACAATTTTAATTTTGGATGTAAGTGAGATTAAAAATTGCACAATGCTATACAGGGTGATACAATAAACTAAAATTAAAAATTTGTCGCATCACTTGAAAACTATTAGTTCTAGGTTAAAACGGTTTGCATAGGCAAAATCTTCGGCTTATTTTTCATAAAATTTCGATTTTTGATAAGATTTTGAAAATGTTTTAATTTTTTTTCAAAATTTAAGTCGTTTGACATTTTTTAACAATTTTAACGCAAATAAACTAAAGAACGTACTCGTTACAACTGAATATTCAATAATATTCAGTATACAGGGTGTTCTAGCGAAAATTAGTAGTTGTAGAAAAAATTAAGTATGCAAGTCGTGAGTTAAAAAAACGTCATTTTTAGATTCTAACGACGACCCCATCGACTTTGCAAAACTAATCCGCGACGAAACTTTTGGATCAACAAAAACCAAACTCACTGTTCACCTTCCTTCGATAGTTCGCGAGAACAGCATAATCCACAAGCATAGTCCTTTCACTTTTACTGATAAAGAAATGACAGCGAAAATTCACTCAAACTCATCGTCAGACCCCAAACTACCCCAAATAGTAAACTTGATCCAACTCAAACTAATTCCAATCTTAGTCGAAAACGCCCAACGTCAAATAACCGAAGAATTCAAATGTATGATTTTAAAACCTCTCTACATTGACGAAAATTTGAACAAAATCAAAGACACTAAAATCTTGACAAGTGACTATCGGAAGTGTCTCAATAGTGTTGTTTGCATGGTTGCGACCCAACAGGAAGGCTATTTGCACTATTTTTGCGAAAATGAGGTCGAAAGTGACCATTGTGTTGCCGTTTATCCGTTTACAGCCCCCGTGCAGAGGCTAGTCATGGAAGACTATTTTCTTCATGCACTTACCGAAACCGGCCTTGAGAGTTACACCCTACGTTTCGGTCATAAACTCTTCAGGAGTTTTGAAATAGTTGACGATGTTAATGTTGCTTCTCCGTCGATAAATGACGCTATTTGTTTAGTAGGACTCCGCCCATTTTTGGGGGTGGAGCAAATCCTCCTCTCGGAGAATAATCTAGTCCTCCTTGCAAATTCGGAAAGTTCGCCGACACATTCCGTCAGTTCGAATAGTAGTTCAAATGCGTCCTATTGGACCTTGTATAATTTAGAACTACCAACTCCGAAAACCATATTCAATGATATTTCAATCCTAGCCAATGCGCATCGATTTACGTCATCGCAAACCTACTGTCATTTGATGAGCGAAGCTCACGTGATCTTGAGGGTGGGGCTTGTTTTAAAAAAATGGGGCGTGGTTGAGGAAAATGTCAAATTGATCATTCCTGTCAAAAATAACATTGATGATGTTATTGAAACGTACAGAACGTCGTGTGCTTTATTAGCCGATCATTACATAATGTGTAATGAGGATTTTAAGTTGGCAATACCGTACTATAAAATGGCGCGAGTTTTGCCATCGGAAGTGTTACGAAGAGTGAAAAAAGTACAAGAACAATCGAATAATTACGTAAGTTGGCAACAGTGGTCATGTGACAAGTTATTTTTTTTTATTTAGGTGACTAAAGGTTTGATGAATTATCTCAAATCGGTTTTATTGGAAGTTAAATATAGTTGGGAGGCGGATAAGTTTTTTACCAGTGGTTCTAAACAGAATTTCGCTGAAACGATTTTGACATTGTTGGAGAACCACAATTTTGAGGATTTGCCCAATTTGATACTCAAAAGTAGCATTTTGAGGGAGTATTCCACGGATAAGTTGATCCAGATTTTGACGCAGAAGTTGCCCAGGTTGGTAAAAAGTGTTTTATGTAATTTTAGTTTTGAAAAATCAAGTATGCATGGATAGTGCCTTTTAGGTGGCAAATACGACAAAAAGTTATTAAGAAAAGTTGTTTAGAACCAATATCTAGGCCTCTATACCAAATTTCAAAATTATGGGCCAACTATGAATTTTTTTTTTTGTAAAATTGAATTTTTTTTTGTTCAATTTTTTTTGTAAATTTTGTGGAGATCTATTTTATTCATATTAAAAGAACTGTTAAAATAAAATTCTTTGATTTGTGAGATAATAAACATAAAAAAAGAAGAATCGTAGTTGAAAAAATTGTTTTTTTTTTAAATTGTCAAAGCATACTTGATTTTTCAAAATTAAAATTATGTTAGAAATTAGTTTTTAACCAAGTAGGGCTAAACCCCAAAAATAAAAAAAAAATTAGTACGTATATTTAATTTAATTTTTGCTTGAGAGGGAACAATTTTGATTCACCCTGTATTTTTTAGTGAGGGCCCAAAACTGACCGAAAAACATCTAGCACTCGCCGTTCTCCATACCCAAAAGTGCAATACATCGAAATCCCAAGAATCCTTATCACAAATTCCCGAAAACGATCTTTTGACAGCTTTACAAGAAAACTGGGAGTTGCTTTTTGACACAACTCAAAGTTTTCAAGGAAAAACTAAAATCGTGTCAACTTTTTCCGAATTCGCTGTTGTTTTGATAACCTCTCAATCTGATATTTTGAGCCAAACTTTGGTTTATTTAATAATGGAGAAAAAATCAATCAATTTGAATAAATTAATAAAGGTGAGAGGGGCCACTGTTTGAATTATAAACAAAAGTTTTGTAGGTTTTTCTGGAGTATTTACCCTCAAGTATCGGGAGTGATAGCAGTACTGCCAGTCTAGTCCTCCAAAAAACCCTAGAATTATATTTCCAGAAATATTTTGAAAAATTTGGCGATTCAGATATTTCGAAAATTATCTACGAAAGGGGGGCCAACGAAGCGATGAAATTGCTAGTCCGGTCCTATTTATCCCAACTCCAAATCTTCCAATTGAAGGAAGATAATCAAAAAGATGAAATGTCGTCGAGGTATTTTGAACCGGACCGCAGACTAAACACTCAAATTTAGTTTCAGCAAGCTGGAACGCGAAATTTTAGGCGAAAATGAGGAAAAATCCAAGTATTACTTCGACGATAAGTTTGATAAAAACCCGGAAAATTACTTATTTTCCCAATTTCGGTACAATTATCTCGATAAAATGCCCCCGTTTCAAGTCGAAATCACTTCGAAATTATTCGAGGCGTGCCTCGAAAATTACACACCAAAGGGGAATTACCGGCCCAATGACGAAGCCGACCTCGTTTTGAAAAAACTTCAAGCCATTTTGTCGAGTCAAATCGTCTCGAAGCAGGTTTTAGGGGAAGTCAACGCGTTTTTGGGCCTCAATGAGAATTTGAGGGGGAGTTTGAGTCTCCAATCGATCATTTTGAGTACGAATGATGCCATTCAGTTGTTAATTGAGGCATGTCCTCAATGTTTACTCCAATTTGGCAAGGTTTGTGAAATTAAGTGCGATTTTTCCTCAAAAAAAAAAAAATTTCAGGACCGGTTTTCGCGAACTGATGAATGGAAATTTCTGATTGCGTCGATACAGAGACGGATTTTGAGGTTAAGTCAGAACGATGTTTTCAAAAGGGTTTGTTTCTTTCATAAAAAACTACTGAAAGGTTTGTGCTAATGACACTTACTTCAGGAAATGATTGTTTTGTTTCAGACATTTTGACACATGTGGCGACATCTATGACGTTGGATCAGTTAGTTCAGGTATTTCCGCAACGAATTAGTACTTCCGATTCGGATAATCGGAATAGTGAGTTGGGTTATGATCTTGGTTATTTAGAAAATGAGTTGGATGTTTTGAACGAAATTCAAAATTATGAACCTTTTGTGATTATTTGTAAGGAGACGATGCACGCGAATCAAATCAACAAGCTTATTACGACCACAGGGCAGCAGTTGTTGTGCACTTTGAATTTGTAGATTTAGGGAATTTATTTTTGAAATTCATCGCTTCGACCAAAAATTGAAACCAAAGCACAAAATCCGAATCGATGTGGAATTTTCTAAGCTTTAGGATAGACTGACCTTTTTCTACACCCTGATGATGTTTTATAACACATTGCAATTTTATTATTTTGTACAGGGTGCTGCATTTTTTTTGAGAGTTTTTGAGAAAATAATATTGGTTAAAACCGCATCCCTCTATCGTCTTTTGTTTTCGACATAGAGTTGACATTTTGGCAAAATCTAAAAAAAATCATATCTTTGTTATTATAGAAGATACGGATTTGAAATAAAGACATTATACAGGCACTTTTTTTACGGGGAATTTAATAATGTAGTTAGCAATTTTTTTCAGTTATTAGTTTAGCCATAATAAGATAAACTTGTATTTTTTTAAATGGAAATTATAGGCGGCTATGGCAATTTTGAAAAGCTTATTTTTTTTCTGGTCTAAAAAATATATATTTGTAACAGAATATTTTTTTATAATTATACTTAAAAAGTGAAATATGTATTTTGTTTGATAATAGTAGACCATGGAACAACTATTTCACTCCAAATGTGTAAATAATAATCAATAAGAGTTTTGTGAACTGTAAAATAGATAAAATTATAAAAATTTAAAAAATACGATACGGTAGAAGTATTTAACAAACACAATTAGAAAAAACATTTTTTGATGATATAATGGAGGTAGGATAATGTTCCACATAGACGGAATTTGGGTATTTGAATAGCCATATCGTCATTTTTGTGTCACATAAAATATTTTTTATTGAAGAATTAAAGCGGCTTTTTTTACAACACTCTGTGTATCACTAGAAGTTACAATGGTAATGTTAGCTTGTTTAAAAACAAAGAAATGTTATTAGTCGCCAATAAGTTGATTTACGATTTATTTTGCATTTTTTTCATTACTTAGTACTTAGAAAACTCTTTCATTAGTGACACTGGTTGAATAATACAGTTTAAATCCTTTTAGTTGAAGATGAAACATTTTTTCATGGCCAACTGCGAACAAAAATCAAAGATAATTTTTTGCTAAAAGTGTAATAATTTGTTACAAATATATATTTTTTAGATAAGAAAAAAACAAGCTTTTTAAAAATGACATAGCCATCTATGATTCCCATTTAAAAAAATACAAGTTTATTTTATTACGGCTAAACAAACTAAAAAAAATGTTAACTACATTATTAAATTCTACATAACAAAATGCCTGCATAATGTTTTTATTTCAAATCTGTGTCTTCTATAATAACGAAGATATGAATTTTTTTAGATTTCGCTAATATGTCAATTTTTGTCTATAAGTCAAAAACAAAAGTCGATAGCGGGATGCGGTTTTAACCAATATTATTTCCTCAAAAAATGAGTCCCAGAATGTATTACTCGTTTTTGACTAAATCTCTTAGTTTCGGACATCCAAAATGCAGCACCCTGTACAATTAGGCAGGAAATTTAAATTTGCTGAGTTATGAAATTTTTGACTTGTTACCCAGATTTGAGATTTTATTTATTGGCGTTTTTCGATATTTTCGAGAGAATAATAGAAACGTCATCACTGTGATAGATTTTAATCCACTGTAGAAAATCAAACTTGATGTGATAAAATAATTCCAATAAAAGTATACATTTTATTCACACTATAATACAAGTTAATGCGAAAATAGGTAATACATACGAAAATAATCAAACCTAACACAATATATTACTTAAACTTAAAATACTGCGGGTGAAGTAATTATTAAAACCCATTTGGCTCTATCTCCTGATTGCCCTCAAACACAGTGCAAGATAATAATACAAAAAATACAAAAGTTCACTGGTAAGTCAGTTTTCTGTAAAACGGGTTCGTATCTTGGCTACTAAATTCAAAATACGTCAAAACCATCCGTAGTAGGGCTGATGGCCGAAGTTCTTCTGTGCCGAATAGTGGATTCCTGTATTATCGACACTGTTTTGTCCAAACGCTGTGAAACTTTGATTCAAGGGTTGTCCAATTTGTCCCAAACTCGTGGGAATATTTTGACTGGGACTGGGATTACGCGGGATTTGGGCGGGTGGCATCCCCCATTGGAGGTTGTTATTGGGGGGGGCGGCGTCAGTGGGGCACGGGGGGTCGTTACTGTTGCTATTTCCTGCAAAAAAAAAATTAATTAAACGAAACTTCATTTCGGTATTTTACCACTGTTTGGTCCAAGGATTGTCACAGTATTGGTGGGATAGCCCTGATGTTGTGTCGTAACAGCCGTCGAAACGTTGTTATCATTAGTGTCCTTGTAATTAATCCCGATGTTGTTGAGGGGCATTAAATTCGACGATGGGTAGATGGAATGGGACGGATATGGGTTATGGGCGATGTTATGGGTCAATGGTAGGTTAGGGGACGTCGAATGACCCGGAACCGGACTTGGATACAACTCTGTCATGACTGAAACAATTCATTAATCACCGGAAAAAAACCCGGATTTTAGTACCTGACGTTGGCGTCGGCGTCGCGACACTGTTGAAAGCGTCGTCGTTCATCCCTTGGCCCAAGGGTGGGTACCGGTCAGGGGCGTACGAGCGCACCAGTGGCGTCGCAGCCGAAGTTATTTGTTTTCTAAGGCGGGCGCGTCGGTTACTGAACCAGACTTGAATCCGGGCCTCGGTTAGTTTGGTCCTTTGGGCGAGTTCCTCCCTGGTGTAAATGTCAGGGTATTGGGTACGTTCAAAGGCCTTTTCTAGCTCGTCGAGTTGGTGGGCGGTGAAGGTTGTGCGAGAGCGGCGCTGTTTGCGTTTTAGGGGAATCCCCGGCTCGCTGTCGCAGTCCGACACTCCTTCGTTGTCGGTGGATTTGTCTAAAATTAAAACGTTTATACAGGGTGTTGAAAAAAGATTGTTAATTTTTTAGGAGGTAATAGTATGGACCAAAACAAACAAAAAAGTCTTAATAAACATGGGTCCGCAAAGTAACGGTTTCGGAAATATCGAAAATTATTCGTTTTTTGAAACATTTATTTGCAGACTTTTAGTAAAAATTCTAAAAAATTTCACATTTAATAGTTCCGAAACTGCTACTTTGTGGACACACGTTTATGAAAACTGTTTTGTTTATTTTGGTCCATACTATTATCTCCTTAAACATTTTACAATCTTTTATTAACACCCTGTATACAGGCGTGAGCGGCTACGCCGCGAACTCTCTATAATTACCACCAAACATTTTCGAATCCGATAGGATTTTAAGTGCAGAAACATATTTATAAAGGTAAGAAAAAAAATTGTAATAAAAACAAAGCAAAAATTGATAAAATCGAAACTGAAACAGTAAAATTAAAATCTCTAATACATCAATTTTGACTTTTTTTTTATTTTTTTGAGCGTTACTTTTGACAAAGCCTGATTTACTACAGTGCAAATTAAGGCAAAACTCTGAATTGAAACATTTAACATTTTGTTAAAATATTTTTTAATTGTTATTATGATTATTATTCAGGGCGGTATTCAGTTCTATTTTTTGCAACGTTGTCAAGTTATTCAATTTTCAAATTTATGTTATGGTATTCTTAAGAATACATACTTTTTCTAGAAGTTTTTATTTTAGAATAGTACATAGCACATCTATAATAATAATAATCAAATAATAATTTGATACAGTTTTTATGGCGTTTTATTATTCAGCGTGGTACTTAAAATTTTGTCCACAACAGCTGCTATTTAAAGATGCTATAAATGAAAAGTGTTTGTGTGTTGTTTCATAGCCTACTATTTTTCATTAAATTTTCAACTATGTATGCGAAACTAGAGGAGATAGCGCAAAATGCTTGGCAAATTCGTAATGTTAACAAATTTTTATTTTTTTTTATTTTGTAAATTGCAGCAAAACTGTACCCTAATGATATAATATTTTGACTTAAACCTATGTAAAATGTTCCGGGGAATCGATTGGCGTCAACAAAACTGCAAAATTCGTAATAGTCTTTAAGTTATAGACGTATTTAAATTTTTGATATTTTTGACTTTATCACAAATTTTGTCGATAACTATTTATCGTAGAGCACTGATCTTTTTTTATATGAAAGAAAATTTAATTTGCTTTCTAACGGTACCAAATATAAGAAGTTATCTCTAATAAGTCCGCATTTATGGCATTAGACCGCTCCGCGTACCGAAAATCGCCCAAAATTTCGACAAAAATCGAAAAAATTAAAAACTTCAAAATTGCCCATTTGCACTCTTGGATGTTCAAAAGACTTAATAAAGCACAAAAACATTGTAAAATTGCGAAAAATAAATTTTTGAAAAATTTTGTGTAAAATATATTGAAAACACTGAAATTGTCGGCGGCGGTGGTGGCTCAGCGGCATAAGGTCCCGCTTTCCAGCCGGTAGGTCCCGAGTTCGAGCCCCGGTCAAGTTTAATTTAAATATAATTCAAAAAATTGTCAAAAGAGGGCGGGCGTATAAAAGCGCGAGCTTTAAAACAAGTATCTACAAAAGTGAAAGTAGTGAAAAAGTGAATAGTATATAAGTTAACAAAAGGTAAGTTAAGAGTAATATAAATGAAAGGTAAGTTTTGCATTAAAAATAATATTTTTTTATGAATTATTGTTATTATAAACATAGGTCCGCAAAGTAACAGAATATTTTTTAACACTCTGTATATGTACAATTATAAATAAGTGCGCATTTTTTTACATAGATAAACACCCCCAAAACTCTATCTTTTCCTGCGCCCCTGGTCTTCAATTAATTTTGAATAATAATAATAGAATTATTCTAAAATAATTATCACAAATTTTCTCGATAACTATTTATCGTAGAGCACTGATTTTTTTTTGTATATAATAGAAAATTTAATTTTCTTTCGAACGGCACCAAACTTAAGAAGTTGTCGCTAATAAGTCCGGAGTTATTGGAAATAGACCACTCCGGGTGCCAAAAATCGACCAAAATTTCGACAAAAATCCAAAAAAAATTTAACTTTAAAATTGATTCATATAACGTTTTTTACATTTCTTAAAATACTCTACGATGCATAGTTTTTGAGATATTGAGTAATAAAATAAAAACCTCTCATCCTGATACTTTGAGCGAAACTTTGGTTTATTTAATAATGAAGAAAAAGCAATCAAGTTGAATAATAAATTATTGGAATTTTTTTGGAACTATCGGCGATAATTTTCTTTTAAAATCATTTTGAATTTCTTCGGAATGTCGGAATTAATTTGAAAATACAGGAATTATTTTGGAATTGTGGAAATTTAGTTGGAATTTCAGGAATTAACTTGCAATTATAGAAAGTAATCTGAAAACAAATTACTGGAACGGCGGATTTTTATGGAATTACCAAAATTATTTGTCAATTACTTAGAATCAGAATTAATTTGGAAATACAGGAATTATTTTGGAATTACGGGAATAAAGTTGGAATTTCGGTGGAATTATTTTGGAAATGGAATTAATTGTGCAAATCCCCAGTTTTGGCCAAAATTAATCATTACTTGAATGACTTATCTTATGCTTGTCGATTAGCTCTTTGTATTTATTTTTGATAAAAATAAAATTCCTGAAAAAATTGTATTAAACCGGAGCGTTTTGAGATTACTTCCATTATTGCTAGCCATTCATCTTGCTATTTGCTCTTTATTCTCTATCAACGTTTATAATAGAGCAACTTTTTGATTGCTTTCGCACACTTTTTCGCTCTAAATTTAATCAAAACCTCTCCCTAATTTGTAACTGTCCACCACCGCCACCACTACCGAAAAAATCTCATTATTTTTTCCCCAAATTAGGTGAAATGGTATTACGGCCTTAATAATGACAACAATGGAGATAAAGACCACCTGTAGATAAAACACATGCCGACGCCAGCTCACTAAAAAACCCATAAATCTTATTCTCGGCTTAAAAATGGTTTTTTTCGGGATGTGTGCATTAATTTATTATGTTATAGAGCGTGATGGTCAACAAAGTGTGCGATTCGACCGAAAATTCATACTGATATAATTATTATTAATAGTGTTGAATGTCACAGAAATGACGATACAGGCAATTTCGGAGTTTAGTGTAACTAATCCTACAATAAAGGACGATTTTTGTGCCGTCTTGTGGAAAGGTAAATTGGAGACGCTTCCGGTGGGGGTGATAATTTGACACTGGGAGCAATTAATGTAATTACACGGGATTAAAATGCATTGCAATAGGAATTATAATTGCATGGGAACTTGCACTTTTTGTAATGGACAATTGGAAGGCTGAGATTTTTATTTTCGCTTTTAAAAAGTAAAACAAAACAACGAGTACTAAGTAATTTTCCGAGTTTTTGTAAAGGTTATTGAAATAATACTTAGGTTTTTCCCCGTTTTTGCACATTCCTGTGTTGAGAATAAAAAAATTGAGTGATATTTCAACTTGCCATTAGCATAAATATAAATCGCCAATATTTTAAAAATATTTCTAAAAATAAAATCTGGGGTTTTTTGGAGGACTGGACTAGCAGATCGATTCTTAAATACTCTCTCTCACCTTTATTAACTTCCAAATAATTTCACTAATTCCATAAAAATCCACCGTAATTGCAGTAATTTCATTGTTTTCAGATTACTTTCTATAATTGCAAATTAATTCCTGAAATTTCAACTAAATTTCCGTAATTCCAAAATAATTCCTGTATTTTCAAATTAATTCCAACAATCCGAAGAAATTCAAAATGATTTTAAAAATAAATTATTGAGGAAAATTCCAAAAAAAAATCCATTAATGAATAATTTCAGTGATTCCATAAAAATCCACCGAAATTCCAGTAATTTCATTGTTTTCAGATTACTTTCTATAAGTGCAAATTAATTCCTGAAATTTCAACAAAATTTCGTAATTCCAAAATAATTCCTGTTTCCAAATTAATTTCGACAATTCGAAGAAATTCAAAATGATTTTAAAAAGAAATTATCGCCGATAATTAAAAAAAAAATCCATTAATTTTCAAAGAATTTCAATGATTCTTTAAAAATCCACCGAAATTCCAGTAATTCCATTGTTTTCAGATTACTTTCTATAATTGCAAATTAATTCCCGAAATTTCAACTAAATTTCGTAATTCCAAAATAATTCCTGTGTTTCAAAATTAATTTCGACAATTCGAAGAAATTCAAAATGATTTTAAAAAGAAATTATCGCCGATAATTCCAAAAAAAAATCCATTAATTTTCAAAGAATTTCAATGATTCTTTAAAAATCCACCGAAATTCCAGTAATTCTATTGTTTTTAGATTACTTTCTATAATTGCAAATTAATTCCCGAAATTTCAACTAAATTTCGTAATTCTAAAATAATTCTTGTATTTCCAAATTAATTCCGACAATCCGAAGAGATTCAAAATGATTTTAAAAAGAAATTATCGCCGATAGTTCCAAAAAAAATTCATTAATTTCCAAATAATTTCAGTAATTCCATAAAAATCCACCGAAATTCCAACAATTCCATTGTTTTCAGATTAGGTACTTTCTATAATTGCAAATTAGTTCCCGAAATTCCAACTTGATTTTCGTAATTTCAAAATAATTCCTGTAATTCCAAATTAATTCCGATTCAAAGTAATTTTCAAAAGAAATTATTTCCGATAGTTCCAAAAAGATTCCTGTAATTTACAAACAGTTCCGAAGCAATCCAAAGATAATTTCAATACTTTTTAATAAGTTTCACAAATTTGTACAACAAATTTCAGAGTTAATGGCCAAAACTTTCTTCCAGCTCAACTCAGGCCAAAAATTTCAAATTATACGCTCTTTAATATTCCCTCCGGACTTTCTTCACTTAACTTCTAGTAAATAGGTCATAAATTTTAGTCATTTCT